GAAAAGAATATTGTTATAACAATATAACATAATGATATAATATATATATTATTTTACACAGTGAAACTTCTCCAAACAAACAATTCTAAATATCGGATACCGTCAAATAGTAAATGGTTTTTTGGTAGATATAAATATCAACTTTCTACAAAATAGATCCTATAAATAGCATACAAAATTTTAGTACTAGAAGAATTTGGTATATTGRATATACTGTATAAAATATTATATGTAACTTAAATATTTTTTCACATCATATAAAACAACAGTATTTAGATGTTACAAATAAAATAATTGTTTGAACAAATTTAAGCAGGCAAGGTTTATTCTGATTTACGTGATCGTCGATTTCCTGAATCTTTGTTTATGATTTTATGAACAACTAATACATGTTTTTTTAAAGCACTATTATGAGCAAAACTCCTTGAACAATATAGGCATTTGAATTGTCTTGGTACTCCACACTCATACTTAATATGTCGCCAACAGTGATCTTTTCTTTTATAACTTCGGCCACATCCACGTGGGCAATAGAACCGATCGAAAGTTGGCATTAATATTAATCCTAATGAGTAACAAAAATATATTACACTTAATTAAAAAAAAAAAATTTAGAAATAATAATAAATTTTCCAAATCAGTAATTAAAAAAAAAAAAATAAGCTTAAATAAAAAACAATTTTTAACATGATTTAAGCATTGTTAATGTATTATGTTATCATTCTTTATAACATGTACAGTTTGAAACCTAGCCAACTTGTGGGTGATAGGTACAAAGTTAAATTGATAAATTGATRGAAAAAAGTTTGTGATGAAGATGAAGGATGACATAGTGATCATAAGAATGGTGGTTTAGAGGAATACATCWTAAATAGGATTATGTGTAGATAGTTGAATTGTAGAGAAGCAYTAGGTGTTTTATGTGATAAGAGGATCCCGTTAAGATGAAAAGGTAAATTTTAGCAGTTGTGTTAAGCAGTAAATAATAAGACAGAAATGTAAGTGTAGGACATGAGAATGCTAAGATAGGTGTATAGAGAGACTAGCAACTTGGGAGGATTAAATAAAAAAATATATTCATAAGGAATTTTTGTAAGATAGGCATCAATTGGAAACAAAATAAGGAAGAATATGTTGAGATGTTTGGTTATATTGTGGTTTTATTGTGCAATAAATATAATTCACATTTTGAATTTAATTTCACACCACATTAATAAGCTTATAAAAATAAAAGGAACTCACAGATATTACAAATTTTATATGTTAGCTGAGGTTAAAACTTAATCTAATTAATATTAATATTTTTCTATACCCTAAAACTTTTGAAACCAATAAAAAAAATGTAAATATTGTCATTCAAATATTATCAAATAGTTATAGATCAATGGAGTACTTTTAATATATCCCCCCCACCTTTGAAAATGTTTGTATACAACACAGTAGCAGATAATGAGCAATCAGGAATATTATACTTAAATATTAAAACTGAAAAACCATTTAAGTGGTACATTACTACTTACATGATCATAGATATTGATATATTTATATACATTCATGTTAAGTACTTTGGTATTTATGCATTCTTAATAGGAAATAACATTTTAGTCTTTAATAAATGTAAATTAAAAGTACGAAATAGGCATCTTCCCACATATGCTTCCTTCCACAACCCACTTTGAGTAATATGAATGCAATAATGTCAATAGCATGCAAACAATTATCACAGTCGATATTGATAACCAATCACAAAACATCTAGTTCAGAAATGATCCTTATTTTTATTTCGAACAAAAATTCTACTTTCAATTTTTAATTTTATTTTACTCTTTAGTGTTTTTCCATAAATTAAAACAATAATACTTGATTCATTACATAATATGGTTTTCTGCATAAAAACTCCACATTTAACAGTATATAAAAACTGTATCAAAAGAAAATCATTGCTAATTAAATACTTGAAATTTAACCAAGCATTGGGAAAAGGCAATAACCAATTAACAAAAGAAAATAGACAAAGTATATTAACTGAATATTTACATGTATATATTATCAATTGATGATTCTAAATTACATTTGTGTACTAGTTTTAAATGATTTTCAAGTGCATCACGTTGAGCATAAGATTTCATACAAATCTCACACAAAAATAATTTCAAAATACCGCATTTTGTTTTCATATGTCTCGTTAGGTTATCTTTTCTTGTATAACTATGACCACATTGGTTTGGACAAATATATCTTCGGTATAGCCCTAAAATTAAAAAAAAAACAATCATTATTTAGCATAAAATCAATTTATATAAATTGCAAGACTTAAAGCATTTTATTTTAAGTTATTTCTAAAGTATATGAGAATACTGATAAATTTTCCAAATATACAGAATATTTAACAGGTATATGATATATTTATATATACAGGGTGTCCCACAGAGATCTGACAATGAAATAACTTTTGTTCTAATCAATATTTAAWAAAAAATTCTTTTAAATATAATTCATAGACAATTGCGCTACATTTTTAGAATACATTTTTAATTTTTTAACACTGAAAATAAAAAACTTAAAATTGATAAAWTTTTTTTTTKAAATATTCAATATAGCCAATTTGTAAATCTGATTTTTATAAAAAT